TATCCGTGTGCGTGTATTTGTGGGTTTTTATATATACAAAATGTTATCTATAATGAAACGTCCAAATTTTGTTACGAAAAAAGAAAAAAGAAAAAAAAACCGTACGTTTCATAGTAGACAACTTGTATATTTGTCATATATAATATATATAATATAATATATATATATATATATATATATATATATACACACATACACACACACACAACACACACACACATAACACACACACACGTTTATGTATGTATTTATACATGTATATACCTATTTGAATTTCTATTTGTTTCACTAAGATCTCCTCGAAAAATCATAAAAAAGTACAAAATTTATTTAAAGGACGAGTCTCCTCGCACAATTATTTATTTCTTTTTTTCTTTTTTGTTTTTGTGCGCATCAAACGTTTTTTTTTTTTGGATAGCGCGAGAAGGAGAAGGATTTCGAAAGGGTTTCGAAATGTTATCTATGTATGATTACGTTTACATATATTTCACGCATATCTTTCTCATTCTTGAAAAGACAATCTCGTAGGAAGATGGAACACGTATTGTACGTCGATGATTAATACTCTTTTCAAAATATATACATATATGTACAGGGTAAATCGAGAATTATTATCGTTCGTACAAAAAGAAAAAAAGAATAAATTTTTATTCGCTGATACGATGAAAATAAATCAAACGAACGAACGAACGATGCTCCATTAGAAACATCGATCTTATTAGAAATATTATTATTTATTATTTTTCCCATCAGAATAAATCGAACAATTTCGTCTTAAATTTCAGCGAAGAAAAAACTATTTTCATTTTGCAACAATTACTTTTCTCACTTTATACGATACAGGACGTAACATATAAAATGTGAACATAAAGAAAAAAAAGTTACGTTCGTAACAATCGTACGCGTATAAAATAATAACATTCAGGAATATTCCAATTCAAGTGCATCACCCTGTATAAGAATACAGGGTGAATCGTGAGATATGGGGGGGAGGAAAAAAAAGACGGAAAAAATAAAATATATACGCATATAATCAAATGATCGAATTCATTTTTAGAATCACTTTTACGTATATTTTTTTTCCTTGTTGCTTTTGTTTCTTTTTTTTTTTTTTTTTTTTTTTGTTCGAAAAAAATTGTAGAAAAAAATCATCCTTTAATAAAAGTATCCTGATCAATCGATTTTTTTCATTAAATACATTACACGATTCACCCTGTATACGTACAAATCTATGATACGAAATACACGTGACGTTATTTCTTGCTCATGCCAATCATGACGACGATGTAAAGGAAGAAATATTGCGTATATATATATATATATATATAAACAAAAATAATAATAATAATAATAATAATAATAATAATAATAATAATAATAATAATAATAATAATAATTTGGATTTCGATCGTATGTAAGCTCGTAGAGACGAGCGGAGGAATCTTTCTTAATTAATCGACGATGAAAGAGAGAGACTCGTCCCTCCCTCTGTAATGAAAGTATCCCGTTCGAAATTCTCCCTCTCGTCTCAAAAAAAGGGAAAAAAAAATTAATTCACTCTTGCATACCCGACTTTTTAATTTTCTCTCTCTCTCTCTCTCTCTCTTTCTCTCACTCTTACTCACTCACTCTCTCTTTCTTATACTAACCGATATATCTACACCACGATACGATTCACCGAGAAATATTTTTCGCTTCCATTTACATATACGCATATACGCGCACGCGTATATAATTATATTTGTATGTATACATATATATATACACATATATATATATATGTATATATACATACATACATATACATGTGTGTATATGTGCTGTGTGCCACCGAAGAAGGCTTAAAACGCGCGAAATTTTGGATTTTTTCTTATTTATTTATTTATTTTTTAACGGAATTTGAGAGAAAGAGACGAGACTGCTAAAATAAAAAGAAACTTTTGATTGGCCCATTCTTTGTTTCGTTTCTTTTTTTTTTTTATTTTTTAATTTTTTATTCTCTCTTAGCTGGATAATTCTCTACAAGAGTACGTTCATGTATACATACTTTTAAGATACATCCCTTTTTGTATACCTTTACTTCTTTATCACGATTATTTTAATAAATTTACATCTAAATCTGATGTTATTTATTTTTTGTTCTTCCCTTCTATTAAAATAGAACTATAAAATATAAATAAAAAAAACAAAAAAAAAAAAATGAAAAAAATAAAAGTAATTGTTATTTAAATATCAATATTATCTCTATAAGATTTATTTAAATATTATCGATTAAAGGTAATTGCAAAGGATACACAATTTAAATAACAATAGTAATTTAAATATTATTATATAAATATACTACAATATTAATATTTAAATACTATTGCTATTTTACATACTAATATACTCTCTATTAACATAATACTATTAAATTATAATAATACACTGACATTTAAATAACAATGATCGGTTATATTAATCAAACCGATTAGATACGATAACAAACTGTAATCTTTACGAAATTGTAATCTTTAAACGTGTAGGAATGATCCAACTGGATTGAAAATAAAAACTTTCTCTCTCTCTCTCTCTCTCTCTTTTTTTCGATTTAACACAAATCGTCGTGAAAGTCTAAAAACAAAGGCGTTAATTGGTTAAGAATTTTCTTATCTCATTCGAGAACGCATCGTCGTACGAAACGTGTTCGTTTCTCCAAGTTTTCTTTTCTTTTCTTTTTTTTGTTTGTCTGTTTGTTTGTTTGTTTGTTTTTTTACTAAATCCGTCATCGACGAAGACGAAGAAGAGGTAGACGAGTAATTGTTTGATGCAGCTTCCTAGTTGGTAGGCCAATCATCATCCCTTAGCAGATCCGTGTCAGCGATGCTCAATCTTCTTCTTCTCGATACATCGTCTCATATGTTTTCTCTCTCTCTCTCTTTCTTTCTTTCTCTCTTAGTGTCTCTATCTTTGTTTTTAGATGATCGAAATGCATCCGGTCGATCCTGAAGGAATCGTCCGGACACACACGACTATTTTTTTTTTCTCTATCTTTCAAGAAACTACCGAACGGAAGACATTCGGCTTTTTGATCCTTAAATCGACCTAATCACACTTTCGGAACGACGATGAAGAAATCTTTTCGCTAGGCTAGCGTTTATCTAATCACGCTATAAGAAATATACACGCGATCCGTAATTTATCGCTCTCTCCCTCTCTCTCTCTCACTCACTCACTCTCTCGCGCGCGCACGCACGCGCGTTCGATCGAACGTTTAAATTATTGCCATTCGTCGAAATCTATGCATACAGCAGCAATATTTTCACACTCTCGGCTATTTATTTTGGTCTGACGTTTATCACTCGCATCCCTAAATTCTACCGATCGTGTTTTCTTTTTTTCCTTTTTATTGTATATATATGTATATGTTTATATATGTTTAATTATTATTAAATAAAATATCGAAGAGTCGTGAGAGACGAAGGAAGAAGATAAGGGCGAAGGTTATAAGGGGACTGGGATATATATTCGATGAGAGATGCATCTCGAGCTGTTACAATCTTATTGCACTGCGTGTTTAAGACACTTCTTTTTTCTATTTTAAATAAAAGTTTCTTTTAAATAAGAATGATCGAATTGCATGTGTAATGAATATATATGTATGTGTATGTATATGTACATATATATATATATATATATATATATATATATATATATGTATTGATGTGTATATGCACATACTTACGTAATTTATCGTAAACTATCGCTTTACGATAAACATTCATTCGGTTAGTGTTTCTCGCAAGCAAAAAAGACAATAGATTAAATCGTTTCATGAACTTTTAAGTTCTCTTTTTCTTTCCTTTTTTTTTCTTTTTTTTATTATTATTTTCATTCATAATACACTATTCTCTCATCTTGGAAGGAAATATTCACGGGGAAAATACGTGATAGATACGACAAGCACGAAAAACCCTTATGAAAGGAAGAAGTTATTATTTATTACCGTTCGTGAAATTCGACTAGGTGAACGTGGAAAGTGGGAAAAAAAAAATAATAAAAAAAAAATAAAAAAAAATAAAAAAAAATAAAAAAACCAAAGACGATTTTTCGAAGAAAAAAAAACGAATAAGCGAAATATCGAATACAAACAAAAAATTCGAATTAAAAAAGGAAAAAGGAGGGAGGTGAAAGAAAGAAAAAAAGAGGGAGGGGGAGAAAAAAGGATAACAGATAACATAAACGATTTTAAACTTTTTTCGTCGCTATCGCCGCCCCCCGCCGCCGCCGTTTGCGCCCGGTAAAGTCGCAATCGCGAGTGATAATATAATTAATAGTAATAGAGTGATCGATTAAACAATTCGAGTCGCTCGGAGAGACAGACATAACCCGTACCCTAATTATATCATAAAATGTGTGAGACACGAGAGAATTGCACGAGAAAAAACAATGATCATTCAATGAAACCTCATTTTCATTTTCCTATTCCTTAATCCTAAGGATTCTGTTTTTTTTTTTTTCTTATCCTTCGTCCGATATATATATATATATATATATATATATATATATATACACATATATATATGGACGATGTCTCCTCTTTTCATGTTGTGCATATCTTTTTCATCGGGGAGTTTGAGTGTCGAACCTTTTTATCGATCGGCTCGAAACCGCGCGCGCAAGAAAGAAGGAAGGAGAAAAATTCTTAAAATTTTTCTGTTTTTTTTTTTTCTTTTCCTTTCGCCGCAGTCATCTTCTCTTTCGTTACCTTTCTATACGCCACTTTTTGTTTTTAGCCTTTTTTTTTGTTTTTTCATGTTGCCGTTTTTCCTATTTGTATTCTTTTTTTTCATTTTTTATTTTTTTTTCGTGTATGTCACGTGTATGTATATGTGTGTTTTGCGTGTATATACGTATATTTTAACGGGGGTTTTTTTTTTTTTTTTTTTATTATTGTATCTTCTTTTTCTTCTTCTTCTTTATTTTATTATTATTATTTTTTATTTCTTTTTTTATTATTT